GCCTTAATCTTCTTTTCAGTATGAGGAATTAGTGCTAGATAATGACTGAAAATCATGAAAAACTGAATACTTCTGCTACTTTGAGCCAGATTTCAAGCTAATTCAGGTCTAACCAAAATAATCTGTCTATTCAATCAAATGATACCAAGAATCAACTAATAAAACCATAAAAACCATCCTAGAAAACACCTATTTTAAACATACACTAGGTCAGAATTTTGATTTTCCTATCATGCACAGCATGGGGCAGTTTTTTTTTTTTTTATGGTGCACACTTACTACACAGACCCATTCTTTCATGTCTAGGTCAAAATTTACTGTGTACAGCCTATCTGAGGGAGCCGAGTTCAAAACGTATACCTACGTAAGCAACCCTGTCGTCAATAACAGATCTACAAACAAGAGTTTAACCCTTTGACTGTATCGGCCGTATATATACGTCTTACAAGCCAGTGTTTCGGACGTATATATACTCAATAATTCTAGTGGCTTCAAATCAAGCAGGAGAAAGCTGGTAGGCCCATGTGAGAGAATGGGTCTGTGTGGTCAGCGTGCACTGTATAAAAAAATCCTGCAGCACGAAATGCATAATGAGAAAAAAAAAAAAGACTTTTTGGATTAAAACGCCGACTTTGAGGTGTATTTTTGTATAGTATTTATGGTTGTATTCTCATTTTCATGGTCTCATTTGATAGAATGAAAAACATATTACAGAAATAGTGGCTATTTTGATTAGTTTCACCACGAAAACAACCTTGAAATTGAGCTCAAAATAGCGGAAATGTTTGATTTTTATCAATGTTCGAAGAGTAAACAAATCACACCACACGTTCAATACACGTCAACTGGAGAGGCTAATATTCTTTCACTAGTGCACTGATATTATTTATACCATTTATACCGTTTTTCGATCAAATTTCATACTTTTGGTGTCATTAGCATCGCAAAAAGATTATCTGTCATTTAATAAGAAAATTTTTTTTTTTCAAATATTTTTCGACAGAGAATGACAGTTTCAGAAAGGAGCTTGCAACAGTCAAAGGGTTAAAGGCTAATACAAAAATTTAATAAAAGCAGATCTTAAGCTAAATAACAATGACAATAGAAGATTTGGATAAGAGAGAATTTAGTAGTATTTGAGAGAGATACTCTAATAGCAAAATGGAAGTGTGCTCTGAGTTTAGAGTTTATATAAAAGAGGGGTGGGATGTTGCAGTTAGATGATAATCTGACTGTAATGTTAATATACTTCTGGAAAGATGGTGACTGTGTGAATATTAATAAAATAGGGTCACCCTGCCTTTCCAGGAGAAGGCCTTCGAGTTAAAAAAAAAAATACATAAATAAAAGATTAAACTTAATAGGCCCATAAAAAACTGAAAAAAATTGCTGCATTTTATGAGCCAATTAACAAAATTATAAACAACAGGCCCCAAGCAACACTCAAATACAAGCTTTTATACCACTTTTCATTGCTTAATAAAAATTATATAAGAAATTTCCAACTTATATATGCCCTAAGTGGAACTTTAAAAAGAAGACTGGCAAGTGGAGGGTGCAAGAGACCCGACTTCAGAAGGAGGAACCTTTGAGAAATGAGGGAATTCCTGAATACAATACAGTTGGAAAAGGGACTGGAGGGAAAGTCAGTGGATGAGATGATTAAGTACATAGTTGCAAAGTGCCAGGAGGCAAAGGAAAACTTCCTACTTAGACAAAGCATGGGAAATAGAAAGATAGAAAGGACTAAAAGAGCCCTTGGTTCAAGCAAAGATGTAGAGGCCAAAAAACAGAGAAACATAAGAGTAAGGAAAAACTATAGAAAGAAAAGCATAGGTGAGAACAAAGAAATGAACAGATTAGCAAGAAATGATTATGCAGAGAGAGGCTGAGTGACACTTAGAGAATGACAAAGCAACCAAGGCTAAGTTTGAACCAAAACTGCTTCTCAGCCTCATCAGAAGAAAAAATGGTAAAGGACCATGGAATTCAACTGAAGAAAGAAGTAGGAGAGCTCACAGATAATGAGAAGGAAGTCTTCAAAGAGCTGAGCAAATGATTTAATGAGGTCTTCTCAGTGAAAACAGGGGCACTACCAGAAAGCCCAGGAAAGAGTACATGATGTCTAGTACAAAAGGTATTGGACACTATACACACAACAGGGGTAAAGGTAAAAAAAAAAAAAAAAAAAAAAAAAACTTGATGAAGCTGGATACATCAAAAGCCGTGGGACCTTATAGAGTGTCATCATGGATTCTGCAAGAGGGAACCAGAAGCACTGTTTGAACTAACTATGATCTACAAGACATCAATGAACACAGGACAGTTGCCAGGCATCTGGAAGACAGCAAATATCATACCTATATTTATTTATAATTTTCTATAAAAAAAAAAAAAAAAAAAAAAAAAAAAAAAAAAAAAAAAAAACTATATGAAAAGATAGAGAATCTTTTCCCAATCACAATGACACCAAAGGTATGAAATTTGATGGAAAACTTACGGAATTATGCTCTTGCGAAGTTAGTGGTCTCGATGATGTTTACGCATCGGCGATTTTGCCCACTCTGAGCCCTATTTTTGGCCAATTCCAGTGTACTAGTCGACAAAAGTCATAACTATTTCGCTAGAACTCCATTTTTCTATCGAATGAGTACAAGAAAACACCCATTTACCGATTTCAACTATCCAATAAAGTGGTCAGAATTTAGCAATTTTGCCAATTTCACACAAATTTCAAAAGATGCCAATTTCCAAATAGGGTCCAGAATAAACAAGAAAGACATTCCTGGCACTAAAATAACATTTCCTCTGTTCATTAGTCACATCCCCAGGCTCCTCTTGCATTTCTTTTGCTTTCCACTTTGAATTTTTATTCTCACAAAAAATAGAAGATTTACTGTTATTTACACTACTGTATTAGTGTAGAAATGGTATAAATAATATCAGCGCACTTGTGAAAGAATATTAGACTCACCAGTTGACGTGTATTGGACGCGTGGCATGATTTGTTTACTTTTGAACTTTGACAAAAATCGAACATTTTTCCTACCTTGAGCTCAATTTCAAGGTACTTTTCATTGTGAAACCAATCAAAATCATCTCAATTTCTGTAATATGTCTTCCATTCTATAAAATAAGACCAGGAAAACTAGAATACAATCATAAATCCCATACGAAAATACAGTGCAAAGTCGCTGTTTTAAACCAAAAATGCAGTCAAAGTTTTTTTTTTCTCATTACGCACTGTGTGCTGCAGGATTTTTTTTATACTGTGCACACTGACCACACAGACCGATTCTTTCATATGTAGGCCTACCAGCTTTCTCTTGCTAGATTTGAGGGCGCTAGAATTTATGCGTACTAGTACGTCAAAACCCCTGGCGCATAAGCTGTACTAGTACGTCAAAAACCCTGGCACGTAAGCCGTACTAGTACGTCGGAAACCCTGAAAGGGTTAAGAAAAGAGACAGGAAGGAACCATTTAACTACAAGCCAGTTTCACTTACATGTATACCAAGGTAATGGATAAAAAAGTCAGGATAGTTGTAGAGAACTTGGAGAGAAGCAGTTTCACAAACAACAACGAGTATTAGTTCAGAGACACCAAGTCTTGTCTTATCAACCTCTTGGAATTCTATGGCAAAATGATGAAAATGTGACAGGACAAAGAGGGTTGGATGGATTGCATTTTCTTAAGACTGCAAGAAGGTAATTCATACAGTATCTCACATTAGGCTGAGGCAAATGCTGGAGAAGCAAGAAGGAATAACAGAACATACTCTGGAGTATCAAAGAATACCTTAGAGAGAGGAAGCAGAGTAATTGTCCAGGAAGAGATTTCAGAAAGGGAAAGAGTAAAAAGTGGTGTACCATAATATCAGTATAAGGACCACCAGTGTTGTTTCTGGTTTAGGTGAAAGACATACCAGTCAGAACTGAGTTAGCTGTATCTCTGCTTGCTGATGATGCAAAACTAATGAGAATACAAACAGATGAGAATGAGAAAAGGCAACAAAAGGATATGGACAAATTGCAGGGTTGGTCAGATAAGTGGATGCATTATATAAACCCCAGGAAATGCAAAATTATGAAGACTGGGACAGGCTAGAAGACAGACACAGAGTATAGACTCAGGTGACAGAGACTGCAGACCTCAAAAGTGTCTACTATATCACAAGAAGCTCACATCAACCAAATAACCTCTGCAAACAATGCTTGCCGGGCATATCCAAGAGGGACCATCAGAAATCTCAACAAAAAACATTCCAGGGCCTTTATACATGTCAAGCCCATCTTGGAGTATGTAGCACCAACACAGAACCCACACCTGAGGAAGAAGGCTAAGAAAATGAAGACGTGCAAAAGTATGCAATGAGACTACTTCCAGAGTTAAGGGGTATGAGATACAGAGACAGACTAAAGGAATTGAATCTAACAACCCTGGAGGACAGAAGGACCAGGGAAGACATGGTCACAATATAAAAAATACTTAAAGGAATTGATAGGGCTGTTTGAGAGGCAGGAAATAAGAACTCAAGGGGACAGCTGGTGGTTAAAGACACAAATGAATCATAAAGAAGTCAGAAGTATTTCTTTAATCTTGGGGGGGTTGAGAAGTGGAATGAACTTGAGAAAGAAGTGGAGACAGACTCCATACATAGGTTTATCAATAGGTACAATAGGGTCCACAAGGCTAGGAGAGTGAATCTGGGAAGCGGCAACTTGAGCAGTGAGGCCAGGAATTAAGGCTCAACACCTGCAACCACACAGAGGAGAGTACAAATAGTCACACTTACAAATGAAGCACTTAGGAATCAATTAAATTTTTACATACTCCAATAAGCAGTATGAATGAGTCTGAAACAGATATCCTTTGTACTACAACATTACTTTTGATAAAAACAATTTAAATGTAAGTTGAAACAACAAGAAACTCATTTGTAAGTAGGTAACCTCTTGAATTCTAATCTGCAAGCAAAAATCACTGCTTATCATTATACCTGTGGTGTTGTAATACTAGTAGGTGGTGATATGTATGTGATGCTGGGATCATGCTGATAAATACTTGCTTCCTCTATTTCCCCATTACTCGTCTGATGAGAGGAAGATGGATGGAGGGGTGCTACTTGAAGCTTTTTTTCCCTCTCTGGTGGAGAATTCTGATTGACTTCTATAGACTGCTCTGATACATCTTCTCTATTTATAGCAAGAGTTTCAGTGATCTTTTCATCTTTCTGTAAAGCCAAGAGGGAGTGCTGCTTTATGCAAAGATATTAATATATCAATATTGCCAACAAAATAAATTTTCTGCTATTACTGGTACAGTGCCTTAAATCTCCTGCTAACTTTTCATTTGTACTCCTCTGAAACACACATGTTATTCCTTTTTAATCTTTATCTTTCCTTTCATATTTGAATCTCCCTTCACCAAATTCACCTTGTGTGCAAAAACATGAATGAATGTAAAATATAAAAGGGTTACAGAGAGAAGCATTTTGTTGCATCATCAATTCGTCTCAATGGTAAAGCACAGAAAAAAAAGGCATCAAAGGTAGTTGAAATATCTAAAGAGAATCAACATGTTAACAATCAGATACATAATTAAATTTTCAGACCAATAAAATATTATAATGTATGTATAGTATGTATCTCAAATATGTTAATTTTTTTGATCAAGATACAATTTTTAAAGATGAATGAATGAAATGTGCTGTTTTACTTAAAAATAGAAAGAGTTCACCACAAAAACAGATTAATTTAGAAATTATGAAATGTAGTACAATATACAATGTAAGTCATTACAATAAATGTGAGATTTTCAGTTTGAAAGAAAAATTTTCAATCTGTAGCTGAAGGAAGGTGGGGCAGTTGTTGTTCTAGGAAACATTGGAGGAAGGAGGTTTTATGTGTGAGAGGCTTGGACATTCAACAGGTATGTGTGTGAGCATGTTAGAAAGGTGCAGTATCAAGTGTTTTTTTATTTGAAATACTGTTGGAGTTTGAGCAAGATAACATTTATGAAGAGATTCAAGGAAAATCAGTTAGCTGGACTTAGAGCCCTGGAAGTGGGAAGTACAGTGCTTAAACTCTGAAGGATAGGGGGTGGAGATACTGCAGCTTGGAGGAGCATCTGAGAAGTAATGTCAATGAGCTTCTGGCAAGACAGTGATGGGTCACCCCCACTTTGGTGGGGTGACCCATAATGCAATACTGTACAGCATTTGTTTTCCTTTTTTTTTTTAACACATCGAGCATTTCCCACTGAGGCAGGGTGACCCAAAAAGAAAGAAAAACCCAAAAAGTAAAAGTTTTCATCATTATTAAACACTTTCCCATGTGTGTTGAATTATTTCTCTAGCCATACATTCTTGAAATGTGTCTGACTGCTCAAGCTGTAACACATGCATAAACAAACTTAAGCAATTCCTAGATCTCTTACCATCCCAAGAATATTTCTGTTACACTAAACATGTACTTACTTTTGATTAGTGTTACCAATTAAGTTCCATCACAACAGGTTATGTAATTATAAATTTGTTAGTCTTACCTGGGGTGCTAAGGTACTGCTTTCTACCTGGGAAATATCTTCAGCTAATGAGCTCCCTTGAGAGTCTCTCTGATCTTCTGTGATGATCACCTCTAACTGAAACATAAGACACTGTTATGTAAACCATCAGTCACATCATCAAGCACTACTGAGTCAAGAAGAGAAAGCAGTTTGTATGCATCTCTCATTTTTTATATTTTACCTATAACACCATTCTTTCTCCATGGGAAAGTGGAACAGAATTCTTCATCCGTAAACCATGCGTGTCATAAGAGGTGACTAAAATGCCGGGAGCAAGGGGCTAGTAACCCCTTCTCCTATATATATATTACTAAATGTAAAAGGAGAAACTTTTATTTTCCCTTTTGGGCCACCTCGCCAAATAGAAGCACTGATAAGGCGATTTCCCCCAAAATGGGGACTTTACAAGAAAATTAATTTTGCATGGGTACAGTAGGAATATCTGGGTACTATTGGTACCCTTCATTTCTTCTCTTTTTCCTTAACCCTATCACAGTTCAGACCCCAAAAATTAAGTACTAATGAAATAGCAGAGAATCTTTTTTCTGTAAGTAATGACACCAAAATTACAAAATTTGATGGAAAAACTTGTGGAAAAAAGCAGGCACAAAGTTAGCAGTGTGGGTGCAATTTATGCATCAGTGATTTTGCCGACCTTGAGTCCTATTTTAACCCTTTCAGGGTCCATGCTGTAGATCTACGGCTTTACGTTCAGGGTCCAAACCGTAGATCTACGCCATGAGCTCAGCTCACTCTGATAAGCTGCGAGTGGTAAATTTGGGCCTAGATATGAGAGAATACATATATGTGGTATGTGTGCACCACATAAAACAAATCCTGCAGCACACAGTGTATAATGAGAGAAAAAAACAGACCGTGATTTTCGATTAAAACAGCGACTTTGCAGTGTTTTTTCGTATGTTTTTTATAGTTGTATTTGCGATTTCTTGGTTTCATTTGATAGAATGGAAAATATATTACAGAAATAGAGATGATTTTGATTGGTTTTAGCACTGGAAATGGCTTGAAACTGAGCTCAAAGTAGCAGAAATGTTAAAATTTTGTCGATGTTCAAGAGTAAACAAACGACCTCACACGTCTAATACACGCCAACTGGTGGGTCTAATATACATTCACAAATGTGGTGATGATATTTATACAATTATTACAATATTGCATAACAGTAAATCTTCTATTTTTTTTTGTTTGAATAAAAATTCATTATGTGAATAAGAAATCAAAATGGAATTCATTTGTAAAGCCTCAAAATGTAACTAATGAACAGAGGAAATGTTAGTTTAGTGCCAGGAATGCCTGCATTGTTTATTCTGGACCCTATTTTGAAATTGGAATATTTTGAAGTTTGTGTTAAATTGGCCAAATTACCAATTTCTGATCACTTTATTTTGTAGCTGAAACAGTTGACTGGGCGATTTATTGTGCTCAATCGATAGAATAGAAGTAATACTAGTGAAATAGCTAAGAATTTGGTAGACTGGAATAATGTAATTGGCCTAAAATGGGAGTCAAAGTAGGCAAAATCACCGATTCGTAAATATCGGACACATCAAAATTTGCGAGAGCATAATTTCGTCAATTTTCCATCAAATTTCGTACTTTTTGTTTTATTACCTTCAGAAAAAGATTCTCTACCATTTTATAAGAAAAAATAGCACATTTTTTTTTTTAAATTCTTGGACCCTGGTGCGCACTTTGAAATTTGGCCTCTGGACCCTGAAAGGGTTAAGCCATGCCATTACTCAATTCGACCAAATTCTTAGCTATTTTACTAGCGTGCCTTCCATTCTATCAAGCGAGTACAAGAAACCAGCCATTCAGCTATCAAAACTACCCTAGGAAATGCACAGAAATCAATAATTTGGACAATTTTATGCAATATTTTAAAAAAATTATGATACAAAAATAAGGCCCAAAATAAACATTTCTTCTGTTTATTAACCCTTTGAGGGTTTTGGTCGTACTAGTACGTCTTACGTGTAGGGGTTTTTGACGTACTAGTACTCATAAATTCTAGCGGCCTCAAATCTAGTGGGAGAAAGCTGGTAGGCCTTCATATGAAAGAATGGGTCTATGTGGTCAGTGTGCACAGTCTAAAAAAAATCCTGCAGCACACAGTGCATAATGAGAAAAAAAAAAACTTTGACCATTTTTTTTTAACAAATCAGCGACTTTGCAGTGTATTTTCGTATGGTATTTATTGTTGTATTCTAGTTTTCTTGGTCTCATTTTATAGAATGGAAGACATATTACAGAAATTGAGATGATTTTGACTGGTTTTACAATGAAAGGTGCCTTGAAATTGAGCTCAAAGTAGCAGAAATGTTCGATTTTTACCAAACTTCAAAAGTAAACAAATCGTGCCAAGCGTGCAATACACGTCAACTGGTGAGTCTAATATTCTTTCACAAGTGCACCAATAATATTTATACCATTTTTTACACTAATGCAGTAGTCTGCATAACAGTAAATCTTATATTTTTTGTGAAAATAAAAATTCAAAGTGGAAAGCAAAAGAATATAAGAGGGGCCTTGAGACGTGACTAATGACTAGAGGAAGTGTCATTTTAGTGCCAGGAATGTCTTTCTTGTTTATTCTGGACCCTATTCAGAAATTGGCATCTTTTGAAATTTGTGTGAAATTGGCAAAATTGCTAAATTCTGACCACTGTACTGGATAGTTGAATTTCATAAATGGGTGGTTTCTTGCACCCATTCGATAGAAAAAATGGAGTTCTAGCGAAATATTCATGTTTTTTGTCGACTAGTACAGTGAAATTGGCCGAAAATGGGGCTCAAAGTGGGCAAAATCGCCGAGACCGCTAACTTTGCGAGAGCATAATTCCGTAAGTTTTCTATCAAATTTCAAACTTTTGGTGTCTTTATGATCGGGAAAAGATTCTCTATCTTTTCATAAGAGAAAATAATTTTTTTTTTTTTAAATTTGGCCGACCCTGAGAACGAGTTTCGGTGAGGGCCTGTCGACCCTCAAAGGGTTAATCATGTCCCTAGGCCTCTCCTATGTTACACTTGCCTTCCATTTTGAATTCATCACACAAAAAAATCAAAGATTTACCCTATTTATTGGATTAATAAAATATAACCAGTAAAAACTCTTGGAAGCAAATTTCGAGCTACTTCCAGGCCTGGAACTCGCTAAAATCATCTCAGTTTCAGTAGCATGTCTTCCATTCCATCAAATGATAACAAGCAGCAGTCAATAACACCATAGAAACCATCCTATAAAACACTTTAAAATGTTTTCCCATTATGCACATTCACCACACTGACTCATTCTCTCATATCTAGGCCAAAATTTACTGTTCATGGCTTGTGTGAGTGAGTCGAGCTCTTGACGTATATCTATATGACAAACCCTGGCATTAATAACATAGTTCAATATGATGGACAGTAAAAGGGTTAAAGGTATGCAACCTCTTGCTTGTAGGAATCCCTCAATATTGACAGAGAGCATGATGGAAAAGTTTACCAGGGAAGGGGCAAAACCTTTGACAGAGAGAAAGAGGGAATATTTTTACAGGGAAAGGGATGGATGGGAATTTTGATTGAGGGCAGGGCAAAGTGTGTGTGTGTGTTCAGTAAAATTTGTTTGTCAGAGGCATCACCTATATACCTGAAAATTTTAGGCAATGATAATAGGAGGATAGGTTGTGATATCTGCATGTTACTTAGAAACAAGGTATTAGGTGCTGTGTGCATGAGTCTGGTGTACATGCATGTACGTATTCAATGTTACCCTAGCATGTACAGCTAGAACACTTACCTGATAAAATGAAAACTTGGCTCTGGAAAAGGCTACCAATAAATACACTACATCACTCAATTTAAGTAGGAAGTCACATTTATAAGAAATTAAAGGTATTTTTATGTTTTCAAGTGAATGATGAATAGGCTTTCTGAAAATGTCATCCTGAAACAGAATGGTAAAAACTCAATACTAATGTCATGATTTACACACAAATAACCTGCACACAGGAGAAAGAAACTTACAGTGACATTTCTGACCGACTTGGACCATTAACTAGTCACACTGCAGGTTATTTGTGTATTGTTCAAGTCAAAGTATTGTGCCTTTTTATTCATCATGATGTACATTCCCAACAGAAAATACATAAACAATAATAATAATTCTGATTAGAGCTTACCTGCTGGCCAATGACACGTACTTCTTGCTGACCTCCTGCACTCATGACCTGCTGAAGTGCTTCTAGCGTCACTTCCCTCATCTGCTGATGTGTCTCCTCATCACCCTGAAATGTTAATTTGAAAACCTAGGCATTTGTTTTATTGTTCACATACAACACCTCCACCAATGTATGGGTAATGATGGTACTAACTTCTCCCTCCAATAAATGTGTTGATCAGTAACAGCCCTAGCCCCTTCAATAGTTATATGGGAAATGATATTAACTTCTATACCAACAGACGTGTACAAAACAATCTCCCTTGCCCCTTCAACAGTTGAATGGGTAACTTCCATCCCTTGGTTACCTGATTACCCAGTTATAGCTGCAGGGGCAGGGCTAAGCAATTTTTTTTCAAATTTCAGATTTCACTTACATCTCTATTCCACTATTCTACCACTCTGTTTGTAAAGAAAGCTTTCTACTGAAGTATCCTTTCAGCATCACTTTTTTCCCATATCTGTGTCAGTAATGACATTACCTTGCCTTCACCACACGTGTTTTGTTGGTAACGATGTTGCATCACTTCCACCTTTAGAACTGTGTGGGTACTTACTCCCCCTACTTTCTACTACCAATACTGTTTCTACTACTACTACTACTACTACTTCCTCTACCAGCATTACCACTACTTTTTTTCCTACTGTCACTGTCCTCCTCGCCTATATACAGAGCTAGTCATGGCATTTTGCCGGGTGAGCGCCCCGGTATAATGCTGTGACAAAATCGAAGGCTACCATACAGGGGGGTCTTTTTTCATCAGTGCATTATGCTGAGCAGCAGCCGTTAGCATGATGTCATGGCCTGCCGCCACACTCCACAGTGACTCCTCAGTGCTCACATGGCTGCCGTGGTGAGGAAGTGTTGCACTTTTCTCTCTCATCCGCCCATCTTTTGTCCAGTGTCTGAAGCACTTTGGAGTGATGATGCAACCTTTACTGTCACCTGTAACCATGCGGGACATGTGTACTGACCCAGAGGTAGTGACCCGCTAGACCCACGCTACACCTGTGGGATCACCAAACACCTAGACTTGCTCATGGTTTGGGGGTGTTTGTGCTCAGTGTGTTGGTGAACTCACTGTGCTTCCCAAAAACCAGTATATGAACCAGTATAATTACCTGGAGTTATTGTGTGACGATCTACCTGTGGTGTTTGACAAGTGTGGCGTTACGGTTTTTATGCAGGATGGTGCACCATGTCATACTGTCAAACCTGTAGTTCTGTGGCTTAAGGACTGTGAAGTGAGGTTCTTCAATGACTGGCCAGGCAATTTCGCAAACCTAAACCCTATTGAGAATCTCTGGTCAATAGTGAAATGAAGTTATATATGCATGTGCATGCCTGTGTAGTGTGACCTAAGTGTAAGTAGAAGTAGCAAGATATACCTGTTATCCAGTGTGTTTGCGAGACAGAAAAAAGACACCAGCAATCCTACCATCGTGTAAAACAGCTACAGGTTTCTGTTTCACAGTCATCTGGCAGGATGGTAGTACCTTCCTGGGGGGTTGCTGTCTACCAACCTACTACAAGGATAGTGAGGCTCAGGTTAGAGTATATAGGAGAGAGGGAGATTATTTCCCAGTAAAAGTAGGCCTTAGACAAGGATGTGTGATGTCACCGTGGTTGTTCAATATATTTATAGATGGGGTTGTAAGAGAAGTGAATGCGAGGGTCTTGGCAAGAGGTGTGGAGTTAAAAGATAAAGAATCAAACACAAAGTGGGAGTTGTCACAGTTGCTCTTCGCTGATGACACTGTGCTTTTGGGAGATTCTGAAGAGAAGTTGCAGAGGTTGGTGGATGAATTTGGGAGGGTATGTAAGATAAGAAAATTAAAAGTGAATATAGGAAAGAGTAAGGTTATGAGGATAACAAAATGATTAGGTGGTGAAAGACTGGATATCAAATTGGAGGGAGAGAGTATGGAGGAGGTGACTGTATTCAGATACTTAGGAGTGGACATGTCAGCAGATGGGTCTATGAAGGAGGTGGTGAATCAAAGAACTGATGAGGAAAAAAGGGTGAGTAGTGCACTTAGGAGTCTGTGGAGACAAAGAATTTTGTCTGTGGAAGCAAAGAAAGAAATGTATAAGAGTATAGTTGTACCAACACTCTTGTATGGGTGTGAAGCATGGGTGATGAATGTTGCAATGAGGAGAAAGTTGGAGGCAGTGGAGATGTCATATCTGAGGGCAATGTGTAGTGTGAATATAATGCAGAGAATTCGTAGCTTGGAAATTAGGAGAAGGTGTGGGATTACCAAAACTATTGTCCAGAGGGTTGAAGAGGGGTTGTTGAGGTGGTTCGGACATGTAGAGAGAATCGAACAAAACAGAATGACTTCGAGAGTGTATAAATCTGTGGTGGAGGGAAGGCGGGGTAGGGGTCGGCCTAGAAAGGGCTGGAGGGAAAGGGTGGGGCTTGCACTTCCAGCAAGCGTGCACGAGCGTATTTGATAGGAGTGAATGGAGACGAATGGTTTTTAATACTTGACGTGCTGTTGGAGTGTGAGCAAAGTAACATTTATGAAGGGATTCAGGGAAACCGGCAGGCCAGACTTGAGGCTTGCAGATGGGAAGTACAGTGTCTACACTCTGAAGGAGGGGTGTTAATGTTGCAGTTTTATAACTGTAGCATAAAGCACCCCTCTGGCAAGACAGTGATGGAGTGAATGATGATGATGAAAGTTTTTCTTTTTCAGACCACCCTGCCTTAGTGGGAATCGGCCAATGTGTTAATAAAAAATAAAATAAAATAAACAAAGTAGACATTTCTGGCACTAAAACATTTTTATATTACACTTGTTTTCCATTTTGATTTTTTATTTACACAAAAAATAGATTTACTATTACACAAACTACTGCACTGTAATAATAATCGTATAATGTCAGCACATTCATGAACGAGTATCAGACCGACCAGTTGGATGCGTACTGGACAAGTGATGTAATTTGAGTCATCTGGAATATTGGCAAAAATCGAATACTTCTGCTATTTTGAGCTCCATTTCCGCTACTCCCAGCCCTGAAACCAATCAAAATCATCTCCATTTCTGTAATGTATCTTCCATTCTATCAAACGATACCAAGAAATCAAGAATACAACCATAAAAAACATCTGAAAATACACCACAAAGTCTCTATGTTAAACCAAATGTAGGGTCACAGTTTACTTGCCCATCATGCATTGTGTGGGACAGGAATATCTTGTATATGGTGCACTCTCACCACAGACCCATTTTCTCATACCTAGGCGCAAATTTACTGTCCACAGCTTATTGGAGTGAGCCAAGCTCATCACGTAGTACTATGGCACAGACCTTGAGCTCAAACCTGTAGTACTATGGCAAAGTCCTCAAAAGTGTTAAAACACTAAGCCCATAAATAATGTGCACTTAGAAATGTCTACCACATAATTAACAATACATTCGCTTCATATTCACCACAAATTTGTATTCATATATCTGGGCTAATTCAATACCTGGAAAATTTGCAATACTAGATTCCTATAATCTGCAAATATTATCTTCATAGATATATGTAACATCATTATTTATTATTATTATTATAATTGGGAAGTGCTCAGCCCAAAAGGAACACACAGTACCTGGGGAATTGGAGGCAATCAGATTTACAAACACAAATTATTGCTTTTCTGTAATATACAGATAATGTAGTTTACATGTAACAAAATACAGATGGGAACAAAGGAAAGCCACTGACATGTCATGCATTTTGGGCAGACTAAGAATCAAATTATTATAATCAAAGAAAGTACTAAACTGACAAGGGTCATGCAGTGCTGCAGGGCAGAAAATGGAGCTGGGGCTTTAAACAGCTAGGTGGAGAGGGGATCAGAAGTGAGGGGAGAAAAGGGCTGGAAGGTATGCTAAGGACTATATGTCAAAGTTCATACAGTAAAGCAGTTTCTGACAAAAAGTAAAAAAGTGATTGCAAGTCAAAGGCAACGTTAACACCTCTCCTACAACTGTAGTGTAAAGCACCCTACTGGCAAGACAGTGATGGAGTGAATGATGGTGAAAGTTTTTCTTTTTCGGGCCACCCTGCCTTGGTGGGAATCGGCCAGTGTGCTAATAAAATAAAAAAGTCAAAGGCAGGGCCGTCTGCAAGGACAGATGATGAGGTAAGAGCAGTAGAGTGGCAGCGCGTTGGAGGTAAATCCTGTGGGCTCGCTGTTAAACCAGGCAATCCACAAGGTGAAGAACCAAAATAAGGACCCGACAAACCTCACAGAGGAACAGGGTGTCGTTCCATGAGATACCCATGAGTAAGGCAGGTATGGCTGATGCGAAGACAGGAGTGCACAGTCTCCCGAGTACGGTAATGGTGGTAAGAAGATGGCCACAAACCTAGAAGCTGTTTAATATAGTGCAATTTGTTATGGTGCATGTCTGACCACCGTTGTTGCCAATGGCCACAACAGTGACAGCGCAGCAGCATCCGTCTGTTCATTGCCCTGCACATCGTGTCCAGGGACCCAACAGAAAACGACGTCTTTGTTTTTGTTAGCACTAAGAAGCAAAGAATAGGTTCAATTTCTTTAATAAAAAATTTCTTTCCTACATCAGGGTCTCTCTCTTGAGGGGTACAATACCATATGTAATCAACCTAAAGTGATCATAAATTTATCATGGGCACTCCTTTGCCAGACCATATTTTTCTCTCCCTATTTCAGGATACATATAGCTCGAGTCAGATCCTTTAACTAGTGCAAAGCTGGCATTGCTGGCAAGCCACAGATATCTACAGGATTTTATTATAATTATATTCACAGAAATTGATGAATTTGATAAAGGTCAGAAGTGTAAATGGTAAGACAAGGGTGAAATAAGGAAGTCAGGGTAAGTGTAGTGAATTTATTTCACTTAAGAAGTTATAAAGGAATCTGCCTTACATGTGGGAATTTCAGAGAAGTCGGAGTAAACAGTACAGCAGAAGTAAAAGAAAAAATACCCGTGTACTCCCTAATAAATGGAACAATCGATCAAAAGATGTGACATCAAGAACTGGCATAACTACACTCTTCAGAGTTCCATTGGGTACTCCTCTGAATAACTTTCTTGCCGTTGTGACAGTAACGTTTCTTACAATCAACAATGATGAGGAGGCATATGGCCAGTATACATGTGCTGTTAGATTAACCCTTTCAGGGTTGGTGCCATACTAGTATGGCTTGCACACCAAGGTTGGTGCCGTACTAGTAGGGCTTGCACGCCAGGATTGGTGCCGTACTAGTACGCATAAATTCTAGCACCTTCAAATCTAGTGAGAGAAAACTGGTAGGCCTACATATGAAAGAATGGGTCTATATGGTCAGTGTGCACAGTATAAAAAAAAATCCTGCAGCACCCAGTGCATGGGAAAAAAAACACTCTGACCGTGTTTTTGCTTTAAAACAGCGACTTTGCAGTGTATTTTCGTATGCTATTTATGGTTTTATTCTAGTTTTCCTGGTCTCATTTTATAGAATGGAAGATATATTACAGAAATTGAGATGATTTTGATTAGGTTTCAAAATGAAAAGTACCTTGAAATTGAGCTCAAAGTAGCAGAAATGTTCGATTTTTGCCAAAGTTCAAAAGTAAACAAATCATGCCACGCGTCCAATACACATCAACTGGCGAGTCTAATATTCTTTCACAAGTGC